TTTTTTTTTTTAATACATTAAAGCTACATACCGTGTCATCTCCTGTTGCACGTTGCGTAGCTGCTCTTCCAAACTTGCTTTCTGAATCCGCACGGCATGAAGTTGTGTCTTCAGATCATCAGTTTCTTGTCTAAATAAATGGGTGGTGAAAGTTAAAATTTCTGTGTGAAGAACACACAAGCCTTAACCATAAACACAAAAAGCCAACAAATTTATAAAGGAGCTTAAATAAACCTACAATAAACAAATTTATAAAGGAACTGAAATAAACACACAATGTACAAAAATGATGGAATATAAACGATGGAGGTGAAGTGTTTTTAACTAGGTATATCATTATGCATCTAAAAACAAAGCGCAACGCCCATCTCTACTGCACAATATAGCCGACTATAACTAAATATTTTCCAAGCAGCGCTTTTTAAACGAGTAACACAATTTACAACTCTAACAGGTAATGCGTACTTGCAAAAACTCAGCATTGAATCAAGCCACGCTACACCTTTATCAGCGGCTAAGTCACGTAGCCGATCCTGTGTCACATGCAATTGCTTCTCTAATTCCTCAATTTGCCTGAGCAACTGGCGTATGCGTTCGTTCAGCTTATCTGTAGTGTATAAATATAAATTTACATTTGTTTATTATATAAAAAAAATATTTACTTTGATATGTACGATCAGCCGCAAAGAATATGGTACTACACTCCCTCAGCTCAGTATGCATTGCAATATTTTCCCGCTTTAAGCGCCTAATTTCCGATTGACTATCATGGAAAATTTTCTTCATGTCCATGTAACTTTTCTTTTGTGTAGCTAGTAGTTTTTTCATGGCCTGCCGTTGGTCGTCCACCTCGGCAAAAAGTGAGTTACCCTTGCGGTCTTTTGAAAAGAAGTTGATATTAAATTTTGCTTGTCATGAAACGGAATGCACTCTCTGTATGCTTACCCACTCCCTCTGGTTTTGTCTCTAGCAGTGCTAAACGTGCATTAGCGTCCGCCAGCTGTTCTTGCGTGCTCTCCAGTAAGCCAGACTTTTCATCCAAGTCTTCACGCTTTGAGCGCAAATTCTCCTCCAGGCAGTTCACTTGGTCGCGTAAAATCTCTATGTTACTCTGTGGTATAAAAATACATATTTATTGGCATTTTTTTAAATTTCGCACAAGTTACACTCACCTCTCGCTCCGCCAAAGTCATAGTTTGCTTGACAATATTGTCTTGAAAATCTTCCAACTTTTGCATCAAAGCAAAATTTTCGCCTTCCAAAGTTGCTATTTGCTTTGTGAGCTCTTCCGTACCCGCGCCAATCAGCGAAGAGGAACTCAGCCTTTTTGCCGATTTTACAGTTTCCAATTGTTTTCGCAATTCAGCATTTTCTGCCTGCACCGCTGCAAAGTCCTGCTGCAGTGTGGTATAGTCTGCTGTTAATGTGTGATGCTGCCGGCGTAAATCTTCCAATTCAATTTGTGCCTTTGATCGCCCTTTGTTCTCCTTTTCGATCGATGCCAGCGTTTGCATCAACTCTTCAATTTCTTGCGATAGATACGTTTCGGCGGCATATGCAGTTTCCAGATTACGCTTCAACTCGTAGATACGCTGGGTGTCTGCCTCAGCATCATCGCGCATTTGGCGATAGCGCTCAAACAGTTTTCCATAATGTTCCTGCAAATCTTCCAGTGGCAGCGACATGAATTCGATTTGAAAATCGTCTTCCATAACAAGCGTTTAAAATGTTACGAATTTTTTTCTTTTAATTCAAAAGTCACGCTAACAGTGCTGCCAAGACGACGACAAATGAAGACGCAGCTCTGTTTGTTTTTGGTGCTGCCTAATTACGCGCTAGAGGGCGCCAGCGCACATAAGAGTGGCAGCACTTTTAACTTCCGCTCTTTAGCACAATTAAATATCCGCCGTATTTTACAAAAGTTATAAAATGCTTTGTAATTTTAATTTTAAATGGTTTATTGCTGCGTTCGCGTTGATTTCTTAATGCAAGAGTTCACTGAAATCGTTTATTTACTTAGTAGGCACTACATGCCAGCAGTGGCTGCTGTTGACCGTTTGTCAGACTGATATACATATATATATTTTTCTTTATCCTGCTTTCTTGGTAGGGAAAGACCGACTGATGTGACCAAACTAAGAGTGCTGCTTTAGTTTTAGCGTATATTTATACCTTTCCGGTAAGCTAGCTAATAATAGCTATAGTTTACCTGCAAATGCTTCAATTTGCTGATTTCAGATTCCTTCGTGTCAAGATTTCCCGCCATATGGAATTTACCTGCGCAAATTTCCAAAAGAGGCAAATGTGTTGCACATCTGATGCTTAGCAGACAATGCACAAGTACTCAACATTGAAGGCTAGATTACGGCAATTTAGCAGATTACGGTAAGAGTCAAAATACTTTGTTNAGCACAATTAAATATCCGCCGTATTTTACAAAAGTTATAAAATGCTATGTAATTTTAATTTTAAATGGTTTATTGCTGCGTTCGCGTTGATTTCTTAATGCAAGAGTTCACTGAAATCGTTTATTTACTTAGTAGACACTACATGCCAGCAGTGGCTGCTGTTGACCGTTTGTCAGACTGATATACATATATATATTTTTCTTTATCCTGCTTTCTTGGTAGAGAAAGACCGACTGATGCGACCAAACTAAGAGTGCTGCTTTAGTTTTAGCGTATATTTATACCTTTCCGGTAAGCTAGCTAATAGGTCTATAGTTTACCTGCAAATGCTTCAATTTGCTGATTTCAGATTCCTTCGTGTCAAGATTTCCCGCCATATGGAATTTACCTGCGCAAATTTCCAAAAGAGGCAAATGTGTTGCACATCTGATGCTTAGCAGACAATGCACAAGTACTCAACATTGAAGGCTAGATTACGGCAATTTAGCAGATTACGGTAAGAGTCAAAATACTTTGTTTGCAAATAAGGATTTCCATAAAATCGAATACACAGATGAGTAACCATGGCCTCTTCATTCTTAAAATATCCTAAAAATATTGATAGGTACATACATACATATGTATATGTATGACATACATACTAATTTAACTCGAAATTGATAAATAATCAAATTTCCATAGCCTCGTTCTAGAGTTTTCACGCGCATTTGTAGATATGTTAAACAAATAGTAATTTTATTTAAATATCCAAACGCTGAAAAGGTGGTATAAGGAAGCAGAAACAAAAATAATCACGCATACAGATTGTCAGGTAAAATTGTTATCATCTCCAAAACAAATTGGTTTTCTCATACATAAATGCGAAATGTGTTGATGCGTTCAATTTACAAATCTCGCAGGCAATTGTCTTGTTGTTGTTGTTGTAGCGGCTACATTGTCTTCTTAACGCCGTTTCCTTACCTTTATGTGCTTTTGCTTTGTAATCATTGTTTAGACAATTTTACCTTCAAAGTCCTTGAGAACCCATCACATAAATTAGGCTAAATTTTATGCATAACTGGCGCTAGCTGCTATTTGAGCGCCCTATTTATGTACATATGTACATACATGCATATGTATTTACAAAAGGCGCAGTGCGGCTGAAGTAGGTATCTACTGTTGCTCTCCTAGTTAGCCAGAAGTCAATTTAATTTCCTTTTCTTGCATTGGGTTATTATCACGCCAACACTTGCGGCTACATTTATGCAAATATTTTAATATTTCTATACCTCAAATCCATGGTCTACCCACCATAATGCAATGGAATGCGTGAATGCACTTGGATATGTAAATATGTATGTTTGTGCATATTGCTTTCAAAAGTAATAAATCTGTTAAATAAAGCTAAACGGCAATAAACCTTAGCTACTTAATACTTTCCATCATTCCTTTCATATTCTTATTCTGTAATAGAGTAACCCCGCATATTCGCTTATTTTGTTGTATAATCAAATTCCAGAGGTTATGGTTTTGGATATATTAGGTGCGTTCGTTTAAAATCTCCAGCAGAAACCAACCAACTGCCAAATTTCGGCGAAATGTCATCTGTTCTCTCACAAGAGAGAAATATCCAAAATAATACGCGAACAGAAAATTTGCAGAAACTTGCAAGTTAGACGAACAGCTGATATAATTTTTGTTTACATACAAAAGTGTAAAATTTAAAACGTACGAAAAGTCATCGCAAAGTGTTATACTGACACAGTTTATTGATTAAACAAATAACTACTTATTTCTTACAAGTTTAATTAGTCGCATTTTGTAATTTTTATCTTCTAAACCATCAAATTCAATTATGTGATTTGCGTAAATGCCAACCCCTGCAAAAATCGTTGGACCATGTAGTCTATTTGTGGTATATTGGAGTACTTACAAAAGTGCTCCTCTGTCATGCTGTAGCGGACCAACTCGTGTCTCTGCACCAGCTTATTGTTACCCGATCACTGCTCGTGTTTTAACGACATGTGATTGAAGTTAAGCATTTGAAAGCACATTTGCATGTCTGGCTGTAGCTGAACGTGTAGAGATGCTAGCTGTTAGTTCTTAGCTCCCAGCATGTTCGGGTTCGAATGTCGTCAGAGGCAACATGTAATTTTTAATTTTTGTTTCTGGTTTTTATTAATTTCAAAAAAAGCATCTGCGAAGTGAAGAACAAAAGCGTGTACAAACGAAAAAATATAACGATAATGTCATTGGAGTATGTTGGGAGTAGTTTTGTGCTACTCTGATGTAATGCACAGATGGAGTATATGGTCCTGCCCTAGGACATCGCAATGTTAATTGGACCATATTTTTTATATGAATTGTGGTTAATTTTGGAGTACTCCTTGGTCCTTCGGGAGTACTCTTTACATGCATGCATGGAGTAGTCGCGATTTTTGCAGGGACCAGCTGTTTTTGATCAGCTGTTTTCCTGTTGGCAACAATTTTTCCAGCAGCTTCCCCTCAAAATGAAATGTCAGTTTGCTCTCTCAATTTCCCCTACTTTGCAAGTTTTTTGCATACGCGAACGCAAAAACTTGTAAGTTTTGGTTAAACATGAACAATTAACAGCTACGCGAACGAACCTATTGGTTGGATATTTTATAGAAAGTGGGCGCATGTAAAGTAATGGAAAGGGGCTGAGTTGTATTAATGAAACATGTGTACATACTTGGGAAAGAGTGATAGGCGTAATATTCAGAAATTTAACGAATAATGTTGCAGATCGACTTGCTTTCGTGGTAACAGCTTAGGCATGAATCAATGCCTTATATAGCGGCAGGGGAAATGTTTAGTAGCGCTCACATCGTTTTTGGGGTGGGTGGCGGAGGGGGAGAAGGCGGGGCCCCCCAAACGCCCCTCACTGGAAAGGGGACAGTCCCCGCTTTCTAAAAAGGCGTACTCCCCCCTTGGGCTCCTCCCACAGTCCCCTAGGGAACCGTTTGAAAAAGGGGGAAAAACGGAATTTTCTTAGGCAAACTGAGCAGTTTGAAGTGGAATATGACCCAACTAACAGAAACCGTGGGATTTTTAAATA